TTTTTTAATACATTGGTTTTCACTACTTTGGCCATTATAAAATAAATATATTCGGTAAAAGTGTGATGAATCTCGGGGGCCGGAAAAATGTTCAAGGCGAGCCACATGCGGCCCGCGGGCCGCGGGTTGGTCACCCCTGGTTTAGAGCATCGACAGCTTAACCCCTACTTACCCACCCCACCCCTCTCGTCACCTTGCCCCTCACTTGTAACGGATGTCGAGAGCACAGATTCGCCCCATCAACAACAACAAGGAAGATCCCGCCAGGCAACTGCTGCTGTTCAAAGGGTACTCACATTTTTGCAGAGTGCGGTGCTCCTGGGTGCCTCGCCTCGTCATCCGCAGTCCTCCACCAGCTCGTGTGAACGTCCACTCGCGGATGTTCTTGAGGGCAGTAATTCCATCGAAGGTCCACCAAATGCACAGAACGGGTTTGTTCTTGTCAGTCACAGAGATTTCTGAACCGCAATAAGACAACGTTCTGGACACACTTTACTCCGCCTCGTGTGTGCAGACAAACTCCACTGAGCATTTGCGTTAAATAAACGAGTTCATGTCAACTGCACTTTCGTTACACCAGTGCCACTTGCCTCGCACGTGTCATCGGACGATCAGTGCCCAGAGGAAAGCCAAATGAGGACGTCTTCGACGCATGAAGCGTGTCTCAGAGCCACTGGTCTCTAGAAAGAACAGCCAATGACTAGAATGCCTCGTGTACAGACCGTTCTAGAAACACAGACGTGGGAGGTACGGGAAAAGACCGCGAAGCCACGGCACGTACAGAGAGCCCAGTCCCTCCTTGTCAGTGTATCAAAATGCCACCGACTGCGTCCAAAATTAAAAGGGGAAAATGTTTTCAGTTGGACTATACATGCTCAGACAGACGCTTTGTAGTGTTGCACCCCCTCTCCCGCCCTTTCCATCTTCCCTTCCCCTCCTGCTGTGAAGGTGAGTTTACATATTTCGTTGCCTTGGCAACAGGCTGTGGTACTCTGCCAGCAGAAGACCACAACCGAAACAAGTACTGTCTGTCTGAGCGGAGAACTGACTCGATTCTGAATCCGTGACGTCATCCTCAATACTGTCCTAAAAACATCGCCCCTTACTAAAAATGTCCCCACTGTTGGAGCAATCTGCATATTTGATACTATGGGTGTGTTACCGGTGACTCAACTAACTTATTAAGTTCTATAACCTATGAAATACTGAAAACACAGGAATGACATGAAATACTAGAAAGCTACAAAAGTAATGCAGAAATTGAATAAAAGTGCCAAATACCCACAAAGTATATACGAAATGTTATTTGTAAGTTACAAACATGGTAAATATTGTGTCTGATAAACTTAACACTGGCAGTAGGTAACAAGTTCTTAACTCGATACATCCAAGAGGCAAATTATGAACCTCCCCATGCCGTGTAATGCAAACAGCGAAACTAGTAGATGCTATTAAGAAGAACTGTGCTATTATACCGAATTAATCAGCCATGTGTCTGACTTGACAACTGGGGCTAGATTATCGGAAAGGTCGGTGCGAACGTTTGGCTCAAAATTGTATTAAGCGCAGAACGGCTTCTGGTGGATCGGTGTCGCCACTTTCGACAAAGATAAAGACGGGGCAAGAGTGAAGCTGCGACTTGGTTGGGTCTACTCCTGTGTCATGATTAAAGCGTCGATATTGACCTTGTTTCTTGTACAATGATGAGGTATCATCCTCCGGGTAAAACGACCCAACCCCGCGGGAACACCACAGATGCGGAACGGGACGATGAAAGTGGCGAAGAACAGGCACGTATGGGTGAGCAGCTCGCGGGCGCCGTCGACAGACAGACGGATACGAGGTAAAGGCGGGCAACATCGGATACACTACCCGTCTGTTGCACTGGACCTTCTCACAAAACGAACACATGACGGCCAGACGTTACTGCTCTATTCATCGCTCAATGGAGACGAACATACATTTCAGAAATTTGCCGCTTTTCATCACAATTAACTCGGAATTTGCCGTTAACTCAGGAAGTGTTGGGATTTACACTTCTTTGTGTAGTTGAAACGGCGTTGTTAAATAGCTAAATACTTAGTCATAAGAAGTCAGTATCAAGAACCGGGGGGGGGGGGGGCATAACTGACACATTTCGCAAGCAGCAGAAGCCTAGCAACAAGGCGTAGCTTGAATACGCGGGGTGTGGACTGGTTAATTTCCGATGCTTCAACTGCACAGGTCACAGGCATGAGCGTACTGTCACGAGGGATCCATCTGGAGGGACAGGAAAGACCCGCGGATAGTGAATGCACCGTAGGACGTCTGACGAAAATCACGAAATTACTCTCTATTTCCAGACGCAGTTTGTCCCCCCGAGTACAAGTTACCACTCAGCTAACCTCCTCGCCGCTCTCAAATCGCGTAGCTCCACGACGGAGTCGTTCAACTCCTCCGATGTGGGCGGCGGGACCTGTCCGCCCATATCCGAGGGAAGGCGAGCGAGTCCTTCCCTCGTGGACTATACGTATATACATAGAACCAGGTCCTGGTGGTCCTGGCGCTGCGTCTCTCTCTCACACACAGATCCTCAGCGAAGAAGCAGACCCTCACAAACGAAAGGAACCAGTTCGCCTTAACAAGCAACTTGCATCGCTCACAGTCTGCGCCATACCAGGTGCGCAGTCCGTTATTCTGCTGTTTTGTATGAAAATTTATTTTCTTCACTCCCCCTACTTAATAAGCGTACAATGTTCCATATCTTTCATAAATTAACATCACGTCTGCTTTATATCTTTCTGTTTTTTATTTTGACATTCAATTATAAACTTTCGCTTATAATTTATTTTACGTAATAATTAATTTTGAGAAACGAGACTGTCAATTAATGAACGTTAGCTACCAGCATATGCCTCCAGCAAAGTTATTTATTGTTAAATTTCGATGTAATAAAAGTACAGGCTTTGCAATCCAACCCGGAGCTGAGGATGACTTCACTGGAAGGAGTTTGAGATCGAACTACGTACCTCCGGCCAGAAGATGGCTGTCTCCTGGGTTGTTGCTCCGCGTAGTCTGGTGGAAGTTTACAGAATAATGGATGTAATCTTTTCAAGACACTGTCTATTTTAGGAAAATAACTTCACAATCTGGCATATACAAGATAACTTGATGACGACTAAAGATGTCGCTGTTTACCCAATTTCTAAAACATCTGTACATTTAACAATTGTATAATCGCAAAAGAATTCCGAATTGCACTTTTTACATTGCGGCTTTCTGGGTTGTGTGACACCTTGTACTCTTATGTAGATGGGCACATACCCTGAAGAAATTTTAATTATTAATCGTGAATAGGAAACGAGATCCAATGCCCGGTAGGGATTAAACATTGCAACTTCGGCCTTTTTACATTATTTTACACGTATCGTATTAAGAAATTTTTATTTTTGTTGTATTCATAGAGCAGCCATGTTTTGTTTTCGCCGGACAGCTTTCCTCTGTCGGGGCAAATTCCGCATAAGAGGACAGACGCATTACCGCTGTGGTAACCCCTCCAGTTTAATTGTAAATCATAAACTCTTTTACGAGGGGGTGGGGGCGGGAGGTGCACTGGCAGCCGCCTTCCACTGACCATGACGTATTGCACATGCCCCTTGTGTGCCGTGAATAACCGAACGATGCAAATAAATTAACCTAAAAAGGCATTCCAGTTAAGATGAAATCGAGTAAGGGGAAGGGCGGTTACAGCTTCCTAACCTTGTCCCTCATCCGACGTTATTTTATAGGTTCTTGTTTCTTTTTAAGAGTGAAATAGCATTTACATTATTCCTTGCTCCGATAACGAGTTGGAGCGTCATGTTGCTTAGTTTTGAATTCAACTGTTTATTACTGGTGTGCTGTATGAACAGCCAGATGGTCGATTACAGGCATCAACGCATCACAAGAACAGTGTTAAAAGCTACTTGCAGACCTTGCATAAATTCCTTCTGTACATACGACTTGGGGTGTGAGTGCATATTTATGGCGACCAACGCGGAGTCGAGCCAGTTCACGAACTACCCATGAGAAAAGCATTCCTTCGTCGGATGTGCGACTCGCTGCGGCAATTTCCGTCAAGTCACAGCTATCAAGACTTTGTTTGTTCGTGAATGGTGAGAACAAACGTCTGCATATTTACATTGTATGGGAGGAAGTCAGCATTTCAGTAACAGAGAACGTATCAGGATGATAGAGGCAAATGTTTACAGGACGGACAGTAACATTTTACTGCGTGTTTCAAAAGGAATGGGGGAAAAAAGGAAAATTTTGTTTCACCTCAACTGGTGTAAGCTATAATAGTCCAGGCAGGCACATTTTACTGCTCGGAACCGTAAATATGTTGGACTATCATTTTCGAAAAACTAGAGCATTACGCGAGCAAAACATCACGAATACGGAGGGCGGATGGATTCCAAGTGGCCGCTATCCGAGAGGGATTTTCGCCAAAATTCCATACGCACTTCTTGTTCCTCACTTCCGAGCTACATACCAAGTCCATTTTAAATTTAATTGTCCTTATAATAATACTGGTGCCGTGCATAAATCAGAAAATTTATCTTTCAGTTATAGCCTAAATATCCAACTTCCTTCATCCTTCACAGGCCGACATTTTTTCTAGAATGCTTTGTTTACTGTTATTTTAACTTATGCAGGGGGGGGGGGGGGGGGGGGGGCCGAGAAAAATGCCGCCCTCTACAAATTTAAAACTAAATTCACAAGAAATGAAGCCAGGTCCCTTTCATTTCTTTTAACAGCAGAGAAGACGGACACAAGATTCATCTAGAGCAGCTCATCGAATGGCTGCAGTCGACAAACACTGCGCTTTATTATTGCATTCGTTTCCAGGCCGAGGGGTTGAGGTCGTCACGGAATGACCAGCCGTTTTACACTGTATCAATTACTAGCGTCTTCATAACATAATTAGTAACAGATTCGACAAAAGTTACGAAAGAAGTACGGACTGCATACTGGGCTAGCGTGAGCGGGGAGCGCAAATTAAATGGCTACCCTGCACACATACACGCCCCCACCCCCCCAATAGCACAGTGAAGTTGGTCGATGAAAATTAAATCGCATTTCGATTCGATCAATAGCATTGCAGGGACTATTAAAACAATCACTGAGCCGTCAAATAAAACTTCCATATCCACTAGCAGCAGCACTACCACACATCACTGTTACAACCTCAACCTCATCCACTGGGCTCTATTTTTATCTGAGGCAGACTTGTTAAAACAGAGCATCCTATGAAACACAAACACATCAACTAGCACTCTGTGACAGGTAATTTAACTCAAGATGTTGATTTGTCACCTTCAAATCTCGCTTCCTTCGTTACATTGTTGATGCAGATATTCTTCTCCTGTCTGGACAAAGTGCACGCCCGATTCTTTCTGTGGCCAGTCGGAGAGAGACACGATGACTAGAATAGGGGTTAGTTTGGCGTCATACGGAGGAAATAAGGAGAGAATTCTGAACCACAAGTCGATTGAGCCCGGCGGCCTACTCCTCCGTTACTCTCACCAACAGAGTACTTCGACCTGAACTGGTCTCAGCTGTGGCACGCTGCTTCCTTCCCAAGCAAAATGGCAGGATATGACGTCACAGACGTCGCGCGGCGATACCCCTCGACCGCTGCTATGTACAATCGATACTTAAACGTGCCCAGAGCCGAAAAACAGCAACACAAATTCGTGGACCATCCAACAAAGAGCGACGGTTTCAATTTGTGTAGATGTTTCCTGTTGTCCCTAGGAATGCGATTTATAAACAATCGACATTAACCTTCACAGAATTTAAGAGGAAATTACTTTCTGGGAATGTTTCCTGGCACGCAATCTAGAAATAAAGTTTAAATATACAAAACCATAATTTTACGGGTTTTGTATGCGTGTGAAACTTGATCTGTCATTTATTTATAGTTTATATAACGACGCTTTTTCATGACATAGTGCTTGGACACTGTCCATCGTCCTTGTTTTAATTAAAACGACGTTTCGAACACCGGAATATGTGTCCGCCATGGAGTAACACTCACCGTGTTGGGCCCAAACGAGATCTGGACAACAGCAGTAGTTACATCAGGGCATTAAAACTAAGCAAGACGATCGACAGTAGACCTGGAGTGTGACGCACATAGAAGCCATAATGTAGCTACAAGTAGGTCACACTCACAAGGGACCGCGAGTCAGAGATGGAGCAGTCGATATAACTCACGGCCGGTCTAACCACAATGGAAACTAGGCGGTCGCCCAGAGCAGCAAAACCCGAATGAATAAAAAAGGACGTGAATAATAATAATAATAATAATAATAAGAGAAAATATATAAAAAAAATTGTATTCGCGGTCTTCGCCTTTGTAATATGCCACCAACAATACCCGGCATTGAAACCAAATGGTCCCTGTGTGCAGCAAAGTCAACGATGTGACCTGACAAACACATTGCCTCTTGAAATGTGCCTTTTGTCTTCATCGTGAGATCGCGGTAGACAAAATGAAAAATTTGGGGGTATAAACTTTTGCAAGCTAAAGCAGATCAATACATAGGCCACATTTGTTCCTCAATGTTGCAAGACAAATCTCTCGAAGAATAATACGTCTGTCTGTCGTTCCAAGAGCAAATGAGTGCAAATTCAGTCTCGTAAACAGCGAATACAGTAAAAACGCTGACATCTACTGCAGTCGGCATGCAACTCTGCCACAGACACGCGGTCAATTCAGTAACAAAAATACAACGTAAACATCTCGTTGATGTCGACTGACCGATACTTGAAAAATACAAATCAAACTTCGATACAATTTCAGCTCGTATGTGGCCTGGCGGAACTATCTAGAAAAGTATCAACAGTACGCATTGCAATTCAGTTGGAGAATTTGCAAGCGAATTCGCCCGCCCTAGAGTAGTCGGCAAATTATGAACACTCCTTGAGGAAAGGTCGATTTTGCGACTGAAATAAAGCGCCTGAAAAAGCCGTCGGTCCGGATCCATCCCGATGACAGGCATAAGCAGGCCACGGTGGCGTCCCACCCGTAAGTTCAACGTGCATGTACGTCCACGGAAGCACAAACAAAGGCGGCTCAAGGTCACCGACTGCATCCGCGCTCTGCAGATGTGACGGGGGCCACTGCCTTCTCGCATTTCGCTGCGATCAGTTCTGTGTACTTGCGTCGTACAAGACGTACTCCAGTTTCATCGCAATTGCACGGTCGATTCTGGTTGGAATTTATTTTCTTTAACTCGGGTGCCAAAAGACCGATAAACTTGTTCTCGTTTTCTTTGGTAAATGATTTGACACGAGCCGCTGAAATAGCTAGAGGCTGTACAACGAACAGAACTTCCGAGTGGCGTTCGAGAAAACGTTTGAGCCACTGTTTGCCTGCTGCCTCTTTTTTGGTGGAAGGACTCTTTTCTTCCCAGCATAGTTGAAGGGCAATCTTCTTCAGTGGGTGCTGGTCTTCCTTCTGAGTGGGATAGCTCTCTTCTTCCGAGTGTTCGCGCCGTGTAGTCTAGACTACACGGCACTACACGGCGCTACAACCCAGAAGACAGCCATCCTTTGTTCTTCTTTGCTTTACGTACGTTTCTGACGTCGTGTGAGGAAGACCAAAATGTCTGGAAGCTTTGAAGACCCTCATTTCCTTCGTTATAGGAGCTCCTGCAGCTTGATTAAGTTTATCCTCATTCCAGGTGTTCTGCTTTTTTGGGAAGGCGCCATCTGGTTCAGCGGATAAAAACAAAGTTCGCGTTTAACGGGGGCTTCATATTTTCGTTCTTCAGAGTGTCAGCCTGGCTAATACGGTTAACATTAACGCTCCGCCCCTGGATACATCCAAATACTTGCGTTCTAGGTCTGCATGGGCCGACATTTTGTAATTTCACCCGGCCCGAGGACTATTCGGCCTGGGCACAGCCCAAACCCGAAGTTTATCTTTAAATATATTACCCGCGCCCCACCCAGGCCCGACTACTTTTTATTCCAGCTGGAATTAATCCGGATGTATTTACAGTCCGCCCTTACTATCGTATCATAAATACATTTTACCTTTGACACATAAATGCCAGTAACTCTTAAACTAAATAGACCTCGAACTACAAGTGGGAGGGAGGGAGGAGGAAATGAAGTGGACGGAATTGGATTCCAACGCCTAACTGCGTCGCGAGCACAGGAAGAGCGCGACTACGAATAACATTTTCTTTGCGAAAAGAGAAATGACCCGAAGAAAGCCGAAATACTACGTTCCATTGTTATCACTTGGACCAGGACCGAAGCTGACCTGAAGCCGAACGTACCTTTCGCCAGGGACGGGTCGTGGAGACCCCCGTCGTACGCTTCCGTTTCACCTCAATCCGCTTCGCCAGTTAGTTCACGCCTCAAAACGTTTTTCGTTCCTCTCTCTCTCGCTCTCTCTATGTTTCTGCTTCCTCGGTGTGTAGCTGCTTAACGGGCCCCTTTGACCATCCCCCAGATGACACATGCGTGAATATGGAGTAGCGGCGGAATTATTGATACTGGCAGGGGGAAACAGAAGAAAACCGCGTCCCACCACGTAGAAAACTGTTCAGAATGTCTTCAGTGAAGTGTTGACGCCATTTTCTGTTGGGTTTCCACGTCTGTGCTACGTAGTCGGGACGAGTGTTGATGTCGAAAGGGAGGCAATCGCCATGTAGGCGCTTGGGGGGAGAGTACTTTTGCTCCTACTCATTTCTGACTTCGCCACTAGATGGGGTGAGTGGTCAGCATCACGCCCCGGCCTCGCTTTACCCCTGGGAACGGACCCCCCGTACCTATTGGATAGGACGCGCGGTGGGCCCCAGAACCGGTCTGGGCGCAGAGGCTAGAGGAAAAAATCCAGCCCGAAACGTAGCTCCTCCGTCCATTGCATTTGGCGTCTTCACAAACAGCCGCGGTGTTGTGAGTTCGAGCACTGTTCTTGGGTGCGATGTGAATCTTTTGAAATAGTAATCTGAATAATCTGTGGACTGCTGCTAAGCACAGCGCGTGACTTACCGCGTGCGTCGGCTTCCCCTCTCTGTCTCCTGCTGTTACAGATGCAGCGTCCGCCGTCCACGAAGGAGAGACTGTAGTAACAAAACGCCAATCAGGTTCCTCTGCCGGACTTTGATCGAGTTGAAAACGAAACGAGTTCCATACGCTGCATAGTGACGAATTTTCTGCTGAAAAGATCTCTTATACTCAGCAAAAATCTACGGGCACGCGGTCTGAGCGTAAGGCAGACGTGGAAGCGATGTCGCTCTCTGAATCCCGATGACAAGAGGCAATGTTCCAGAACGCGACATTACGGATACTTCTGTCTGACAAATGGTAGTGCCTTCTCGTTTGACCCCAACGCCAATGACAAGGCGTCTCGGTGCACCGCGCCCATCTGCGGGCCGGCCGGTGAGTGTGACCCAGAAAAAATCCCTCAGATGTATCGTCCCGGCATTTCCACCGCTTCTCCAGGAGATCGCAGGATTGTCGATTGCGCCGGAAGTTTTCGTAACAAAGAGCTGTCTATTTTCATTTGGCAAATGCCAATACATTCATAGCATTATCGTAATATATAAAAAGCGCATTGCATTTTAAGAAAACCGCAAAAGTTTGCAGGGCCTTCGCTGGTAATAACCCAGATCGACTTCCCCGCCTGTTATAAGATCCCACGCACTCACAAAAAGAAATTTTAGCTCGTAAGTTGTTCCTATTAATTTCGAAACTGCACGTGGCGCAATGTTGGTTTCTTTCAAATAACTTGAAGACGCATTTAAATCGTCTTCTTGTTTTCTTCTCCTGCGGTCTCTCCGTCTGTCACTTCGACGCTCTCCTCTGAGCTTTGCGTGTTTTGTACTTCATCCAGCATCTTCTGTATCTCTTCTTCCTCTGTCTTCATTTCTGCATCTCGCTGCTTACTTAAATACCCCGGCAACCAGAAGCAGGCGTTTATCAGCCGCAAGAGAACCCAGGCGAAGAAAGCCAACGCCAGGCACGTGCATGACGTGACCATCATCTGCCACACGTTTACAGAAATTTGTTGGTAACGCATTATTTATAATTTGACGTCGCACGTGGATCTGCAAAGACCACAATTAAAATAATCTCGATTTTCTGAGTCTTCTGACTTGAAAAAATATGTTAAATCCGCCACAATTAAAATAATATCGATTTTCTGAGTCTTCTGACTTGAAAAAATATGTTAAATCCGCCACAATTAAAATAATATCGATTTTCTGAGTCTTCTGACTTGAAAAAATATGTTAAATCCGCCACAATTTAACAATTACAGTCATTTAGATTTTAACCAAGCAAAGCACCGTCTTCTTTAGAAGTAATTTGACATATCTGGGAAAGAAATAACGGTTCCCTACTGGCAGGACGTAAATCAGTTTCAGGAAACTCGAACGTTGAGCGCAGTCGCAGAAAATCAACACGTCGCGTTTCTTCTACTCTTTTTTATCAGAGCCACAAAAGTAAATTCTTCTTCGTGAGAAATACGTTATTATTCCACGAAAACGTTAAGAAGTAATAACTTGTTTCTTCTAGTTATCATATTGTTGCTTGTTAAATATTTTAACTTGTACTGTTGCGTCTCTACTGGCCACGCACATTAATATTTACAGTACGATATTGTGTTCACACCAGAATTACCTGCAAGTAATTAGTTCCACGCTGAACCAAAATTAGCATAAAATTGTCCTTGTAAAAGCGAAACAACAATTGCTTAGATTTGCCTGTCACTTAAACCGAACCAACACGATATATTGTTGAATAATATGGCCATTTATACATTGTTATACACCTGTAAGTACTGTTCTTGTCTCAGAGTTTGAAGTTGCAGAAACGAAACTAACGCACCTTGATCAACGACGTACTTATTGAGTACTATAATGTTGAGGCACAGAAGCAGTTCAACACGAGTCACTTTTGTTCACATATACGAACGAAATATTTTGTTTTGGTAAGTAAATGCACTTCGTCCAAGAATGAGAACATCACCGCCATTTGCGTCGTAGTATTTGAGGAAACTGTACACAACATCAAGTGCCAAACGTAATAATCGATATAATATATAAAGCCTGACTGACATGCAATGTTGACAGCACAGTTGCCCCTGGAAACGGTGCGTTCGCCTGTTTGCAGGCCTCGCAGGCGTTGTTACACGGCGGACTACGTCCACAAAGAGCTCCTGGCCTTCGGAATCCCGACTCGTTTCGTCACGGGCAAAATTTCTGGTTTTATTTTTTCCCGGAATTCAGTTTGCTCTCGTGAATGCAATTTTTATTTCCCAGTGTCGTTCTCGAACATTTTAACTTTGA